GTATCCACCCTAGAATATGACTCAAAGTTCAGCAAATCTTAATTGAACCTTATGCAAGACTGCAGATGAAAATTTGTGAGAAATATTTGAAAAATATTAACAAATTAAGAATCCATATTTATAGAACAAATGATTTTAACTAAGGATATTATGAAACAATCACAGATGAAAAATAGTGTTAAAATAAAATTAGTTGAATAAATATGTAAATATCTGTCCATAATGCAAGGACATATTTTGAATTTTGCAGTGCTAGTGACTGCAAGAGAAGTATGTCGAGGTTAGAGCTTCTAAGTCAGAAGTATCATGTACTCTCGACACCAAAGGAGTGAAATTTGAAACCTTAATAAAATTAAGGTTTTAAGTGACTGTTCTAATATTCTTTCAATATGTGAAAATGTTTTTGCATGAATCTGGTAACATCATAACAAGTTATCATATTTTAAATTTTTTGAATGAGATTTAGAAGCATTGAGATTTGAATAACACCATACATCATTTTTCCAAGGCTTAAATCCCATTGTGTCATTTTTTTTTCCTATGTGAAGATAGAGAAAGGTATATTAAAATATTTTTCTTTTGGAGTACTTCTATCATCATGGTTAATAAGGGCAACCTCACACATATATATGAGAGGAAAAATTCAATTTAAAATTGCTTTAAGGTTAACCTTTGAATTTTACTATGATCAGAAGAGTTCCATGACCTTTAAATTTGATGAAAAGAGAAAGCAGATATTATTCTCATTATTTTGTTTAGAAGTCTTACCAAACTAGGTGACTCTAAACAACATTTCTGCAACATGACAGGATCAGTTGATATAATTGATCATTGTTACTATGAAAGATAATACCTAAAGATTTTAGTACATATTCACTATTTTACATCTGATTTCAGTTCTCTGCAATTATCACTGTACTACTTCAGGGCTATCATTATTTTGGACAGATTAATTATATGTCTTACATTTGTGCTATTAAACATAATAACTTTCATTTTAAAGATTATATTTTATTCTGTTAGATAAGCCTAGCTTATTTTGATATTTGAAAAGTGTTTATGATGCTTTCTTGTAATGTTTTATACTATTACCTTTATACACAGTGTTCTTGTAAGCTGTAGAAAATTATAATTGAAACAAAAATACAGTAGCTTTATAATAATTATAAGAACTACAGGGCATGACAAATTAACTATGTGTTTTATATAGTCACATTCAGGTGAGAATTAAGTATGAAAAATAAATAACTAAATAAACCATTTAGTTTGCCAGATACTGTCTAAAGAACTTCTAGCTAGGTTATTGAATCTTTTGAGCAATGTTGGAATACATATTATTATTCTCATACTAATAATTAAAATTGAATAATATTTGGTATAAGTATAAAGTATGTGGGAGTCTAGTATTTATGTCAAGTATTTCTTAAAGTACAGTTTGTGAATTAGTGCATCAGTTTATCTCTGTACAATATGGATTCTGGACCACAATTTCAATATGCTTACTGAAATCACTCATGTGTGAGACCCCAGAATATGAACTTTTAACAAAATTTTCAATTTGATGACCATTATTCTAGTTTAGAACATAAAGCAAACATCACAAAATATATTATAGTTAAGAGCATTTTATATATACAGTTATTGTGGAATTAAAAGAATAACTCAACGTAGCAGCAAATAATCTTTTTGCTCAATGTCTATAGCCTAGGAAAGAATAAAGAAGGCACAGAATGCTAAATCAACAACCATTCATCAGGGGACTAAGTTGCTACACAAAGCTGCTAGGAACAGTGAGAAAGAAGGACAAATGATTGTTTGGTTAAATAATCGAGAATCTGTATCTGTCTAACAATATTTAGTTAAAATTCGTGAAATTATAAAAACTTCTAGTGCTGTTGTGATAGGATAAATCTGATTTTTTTTAAGCTAAAGGGAAGCAGGAAACAACTGTCAAATATTTTTAAAATGAATAATACACATGTGTTTGTGATGATTACAAACACCATCAAACACCCTAAACTGAAGGATTTCTTGGGAAAACCATGCAGAACTAACTTACAGGTAACTGTTTCTAGATGACTTACAGGGAGCAATGGATTGCAACAGGGCAGGTTGAAAGATGACCAGAGCATGTATTATGAATTTTTCTTGAGGAATAATGAAAATGAGAGAGCGAATGCCAGAGAAATTATAGTGAGCATGATTATGCAAATAATTCAGTGAGGAATTGGACAGGAAATTTTGATGATCTGCACACATTCCATTTCTTAAATGCTCTGCCATTAATGGCTTTGATCATTGTAGTCTACTTAGATATGAAGATTTATGAATTTCTATAAAGATGATAAAARTACTTGGTCTTAAATCAACCATTGGAAGAAAAACTTGTGGAGCAGCAAATGCTTTAAGTTGTAATTTTGTCAGGTAGGAAACAAGAATAATGATTTCTATTTGATTTAATATCTCAGAAGTGATTACTTTTTAAGACTGGAACAAATGCAGAACAGTGGAACATATCTTATTTTATCTTTGGCCATAAAACATTTTATAAGTAGTAGAGGGAGAATTGCAAGGTGATCATCAGCTGATTAAGATGTATAACTATTAAAAWTAATTATTTCCCCAGTGCAGTCTTCAAGAATTATTTCCAGTATGAAATAAGTAAAACATTCCCTGAGGAATGGAAATTTAAATGCACTCCTATAATTTAAAAGAGAAGAGGTTTGTGACCACTAGAAAGTGTCTTTGTGTGGGGGGGTTTCAAGCCACATATAAATTAAGAAATCATACTATATTGTTGATGAATGCTATCTATCTTACTTAAATAATTCCAGAGTATAGAATAAGAATCACACTATCCTTATCCTCTTTATTTAGTAATCCCTATTTGCCAGTATCTAGCTCTAGAGGTGTATTTTCTCATAATTTCCTAAAGCATTTAAAATACGTGATAGTCAAGTTAGAGTAACATTGGATCAATTAGTATTTAATCCTCCAATTCCTAAGCAATTCTACCTTCTGACTTCAAAGCATGTCAGTGTAATGATGAGCCCCAGAGGTTCTTATMTGTAGTAGCACAAAAACAAATTTCTCAGGTCATTTCTTTAAGATGAATCCCAATTTACTTTGGCTTTTTTTTTAAAATGAGGTAATGTAAAGAGCAATTTTTTGGTATTTTAATAAATAAGTATATAATTGTGTTCAGACTTGTATACATCAGCCATATAATTAAATTACTGTATAATCACTATTATTTTTTTTCATTGGAGCATATAAAATATTTTCAGTGGTCTATTAGGAAGATTTGACAGATATAAAGCTACAAATAAACCAAAAGAATTTTACAATCATCAGCATTTATTCCAAGAATGTGTTCACAAAGTGTTCCTAAACAACTTACTGTGAATTATCTATGGATTGTTGAGAATTAGAATCTGTGAGAAATTGTAATATTTTTTCTAAATAATTTGCCTACAAAAAAAACACAAATGGAAAAAAATAATAGTCAAATATTTTATTCATTGTCTACTTTATCCTACTTATATGAAAATATGCTCATTACATTACCCCACTTCAATGATATAGTGTAACAGATCCTGTTTTTAAATTATTTAACTATTTTAATGATTTACTTAGAATATGGTTTTTATGATTGTGATATATAGAAAATTATATGTAAGCTTTATATGAGGTAACTGAACAAAAAGTTGGACTAATGCATGAGTGATGGCTGGAATCATAATATAAATAATAATGTTAATTTTCATTTAAATCATTCTCCATGCTCATAATTTTATAATTTATCATTATTAATCAAATAACTATACTCTTGGACAGGATATTCTTGTCAATTATGCTGAAGGTAATACATTGCTTTTTTGAAACACATTTCTGTGTCCATGATTTGAGTTTGTCAGTATAATGATTTTATGGAATTTACCCATGTTTTATGACAGCCAATGATGCTTTTACAAAAATCACAAATAATGCACATGGCATAATAGAAACCTAGTTTATAAAATAGCTTCAACTATCTGAATTGGCTGTGACAGAATTGACAGAAACCTTGAAATTGCAGTTATTTAGTTTGGCCCACTGTGCCCGGAAAGACCCACTTGGAATGGTTCTGGAAGCTGTTCTTTTATTATGTACAACTATTCTGGATATGGTAGCATTTGACAGTCATTTTAAATAAGAAGTGAGGCCAATTAAATTGTTTCTCTGTGGATTTCCTCTGACAGATTCATAGAGGCAGCTGTGTTAGCCAATATGCATTGTATAAGCACAACTAAAACTGTTCCAGCATTTATTTTGATGCAGCCACCTAATTATATAATTATGATTTATGTTTAAAAAATTAATTTTTAATGGAACTATTATCTGTATCCTCTGCTAGACTTTTCATAATAATCTCATGGTACCTACATGGGGAAAATTACTTTTGTCAATAAAAACTTGAACAGATTCTCTTGGCTTCATACTAATAGAAATATAATTTAAAAAAGGAAAGGCACTATAATTTCCAGTCTCTGGTTAGGAAAAACATTCTGCAACCTGAACTCTGAGAACAGATTACCATTTACACTTGGTAGTTATCTCCACCTTGGGCTTTAGATAACCAGAAAAGGAAATCATAGAAACTTATAAAGAAGGATTTGCTTATTATACAGACACAATTTTTCTAAGTAACTACTCTCAATGTTCAGAAAGTATTAATCTCCAATTTTTAGCATGACTTCAATATTGCTATTAAGTGTGCCATTTTAAGTTGAACAATGAAGAGAAATGGCTATAAATCTAAATTTTAAAAGGTCTTTCAACAAATGATATATAATTGGACTTACCCTCAGCATACTGACAATATGTAGAAACCTCTACCCAATATTTATTAATATGTGATGACTGGCTGCTATGTTATTTCATTTGCAGTTTCTATATTAACAGGCCCCTGGGTTTTTCTATTTACTAATCTGTTGTTGTTATTGTTCTGACCTTTGTAGATGCTCCACCAATTGGTCAGGCACACAGTGTGAGAGGCCAGCCCCCAAAAGCAGCAAATCTGATCATATCAGCACAAGTAAGTTCTTCAGAATAATATCCTCTGTGATCTACCTTGTATAGAAATTATATCTACATGTGTGTGTATATGTGTGTGTGTCTGTGTGTGTGTCTGTGTGTGTGTGCATGTGTGTGTGTGTGTGTGTGTGTGTGTGTGTGTAATGCCATTATTGAGGGAATGGACACTTGGAAAATCTTCATGGAAAATCTTCATGGATGAGGCTCTGAGTTCTCCTCTGGTCGCAGGATTCAGCATTTGTGAGTGTTTTAAGGCAGTTTTCATGATACACATCTGCAAACTAGCATTGACTTTTCTTAAAAAAATGTCCATCAGCTACAAAGGCTGCAAATACCACAATGGATATGAGAATGCTTAAGGAAGAAAAGTGATTATGTTTAATTAGAGCAAAGTGTATACTCTTGAAATGCATTTCAATGTGTTGTTGAAAAACCAGACTGGATTGATTAGTTTAAAGAGAAGTAAATTATCAAGCAATTAATGATGACTTATTGCATTTATTTTGTCTTTAAAGTAGTTGTTTTGAAATGTATTAAAATATATATCACCAGGTTTCTGAGTGTGAAAAAGGATATAAAATATCACAGTCATAATTTTTATAAAAATTATGTTCTGAAATGATATTGGCTAGATACTTGATCAGTGTGTAGATTACATAAAATGAGGAATAGAAAAATAGATCCATAAACCATGTTGATATAGATGTACTCAAAAGTTTCCCAGTAACTGAATCCAATATCATTCATTTTAATGTAAATTAATTTAAATAAAATTAAATGCAATGTTCAATTCACTGTCAAAAAAAAAGTGTGTGTGTGTCAACATTTTTCCAATCCTGTTTTGTGCAGCTATAATTTGGGGGCAGGTTTATTGCCATTAGCATTATGTGTCATTGTTTATTTTCTGACTTTTTTAAAAGCTGTTATGAAAAATTTTAAAAGAGAAGTCCGAAGAAAAACTTCTCAATTCATACATATTTTTATTAATTTGACCATAAGTGGAAAGAATTCAAATAATTTGTAGTGTGCACCAAATGAGTACACTCTTCAGAAGGAAAAATAATATCCCTGACTGATCAACATTTACATCAGCATTTTTTACTAGTTTTTATACTGGATGGAGACACAAAATGCATAAAAACAAATGAAAAAAAAATACATGTTTTTTGAAAAAAATAAAGATACTAAGAAACTCCCMAAAGGACATGATTTTTGTATCCTAAAAGGAGGTTCCAGTGTTTGCTGATATACCTATTTGTTGTCTCTGTTTGCAAAATAGTTTCTATCATTACTTGAAATTCTTCAAGCAACATTGTCCAAACTTGCATCATTCACAGATTAATTTGGCTTTTAATCATGACCATCTTTTAAACATGACATAACGGTCTAGAATAAATATTCTGGTTGTGAATATTTTAATTTGAAGAGGTGAATAACCCTCACCTCTGATCTTTTCATGGAGCATTTTGTATTTAGCTTGGAATTTGTTTGCCATCTTTAGGTCAGGGAAGGGAGCGGCCCTTAGGGAAGCTATGGGCATATAATTGTAGTACTAGAGCAATAGGGTTTGGAGAATTGTTTCATAAAATATTAGATGTGGCCAAATATGCCTTTTGAATTTGACACACATGAGGTAATTTAAAAGAAAGTACTTCCTCTTTTTTCTTCCTGAGATCTTGTGGCTCAAACCAATATTACTAGTAAAAATTTTGGAGCCATAGTTATTTAAATGTGATTTTGTAAACTATTTGCAAAGCTCAACAATCATTAAGAGCTTTTTTWAAAAAATAAAAAATGTACTTGAAGTTACCAACCTATAATATGCATTAAATTTATAAATTGGGATTTTGAAGTTTAGGTGCTTCAACCTTTATATTTTAGAAAGTCAAAATTAATTTCAATGTTGATAAAATTCTCGAAAAGTAGAAGAAAATAGAATAGGATGTCTGTTGAATTTTCAAATTTAATATAAGGTCCATCCGCAAAGGGAGAGTTGTCTGGAAAATGGTTCAAAGAAGGATGCTTCAGATGTTTTATTGGGGAATCGTGTCTCCAATGATGGGCAAGAACCACCCTTATTAGAGGCAACAGTTCTTAAATAAAGCATAACAAATGGGAGGATTTGCAAGCAGTTGTAACCTTGTTCCCAAAGATTCTGTGGCTCTTTATTCCATCACTGATTTAAAGTCATTAAATTTAATGGAAGTATCAATGCACATTGAAAGGGCTATTAGCTACGTAAATGTCAAATTATCACAGACTAGAACAAAGTTGATCAGATAATGACTCTATTTGAAGGTGTTATCATCAGACATTTTTTGCTTCAAGAAATTTGCCTTAATAGACTTGAAAGGAGGAAATAGATAAACTAATCCTTGTTATAGTATGAGATTTACTTGTATTCTCTCAGGTGAAATCAGTTATTTTGAATGGTTGCCAAACATTCCTCAAACAKGAGCGTAAGACATAAGAAATCAAGTCAATAAGAAAGATTTATATTTTAAGACTGTGTTTTCAAATCTGCATTTCCATTTAAGTTGAATATCTCATAATCATTGGACCTCAGCATAGTCAAGAATATGCTGCCTTTGTTCACCCAACTACTGTCAATTAGCATGGAGATTTACCTTTCTAATTCATGCACAGTTTTCTTAATTATCTTGGAGTAGTGGTACAGGTGTTTTCTGGCCCTTGATGTTTAAAGTATCTGAAAATCAGCCTGTGTAATTAGGCAGATTATTATCCCAGGGCTTTGTGCTTAGGTTCTACTTGAAAAACCTAGTTTGACTCTTCTGAAGATACTTTGAAGAGTTCTAAACTCAAGTTTGATAAAATATTCATTACATACCCCTATTTGAAATTCACATAAAGTTTTCAGAGACCGGATGCTCAAAGTTTGAATTGTGCCACTTCTGGTATCTTCTAAAATTAAAGAAGATAAAAATATACTCAACATTCTATAGGCCAGTACTGTAGAGATGCTGCAGTTTATAGTGGAGATGTGATACCTGTCAGGGAGTCATTGTTTTTCTTTTCTTTCTTCTTCTTTATCTTTTCTACRCTACCACAACCATGTTTTAATAAGGAAAAATAAACTGTCTGTATGACATCAGGAACCACAAATTAGCAAATGAAAGGATTGAACTGAAAAAGAAACACAACAATGCTTTTGCCCTAATTCTCCCAAAGCAGATGTTTATCAAATTTCTACCAAGTGCCAAGAACTATACTTGACCCCAGAGATAGATGATTGCAAAAGGCAGATGAGGCCTTTTCTCATGAAGCGGAGATTCTAGTGGGATAGACAGCAATAAAGAGAGGAAGCAAATAAGAAAATGTACAAATTAATAAACAATTGTGAAGGAAACAAACATATATAGCAAAGATMAAGCCTGGCCAGGGAAGATTGAGGTGAGCAGAATGTTTTTTTTCTAGAAGTACAMATGACCAGCTCATTTATGTGGCTTACCATTCTTCACAGCCTCACCTGGTTTTCTCTACCCCCACTATATGGTATTCTCCACCTATTCTCTAGCACTATGCATTCTACATACCAGCCTATTTGTTCTTCATTAATGTTAATCCCCCAGCTTTTGTACTGTCTTCAGGGAACTGAAGAGGACTCTTCCTTCAGGTCTCACAGACACACTGTTCTCCTACATCCACATCATGTTGGTGTACATCCTTTAAGGTCCCAGGGCAGTGCTTAGCTTCCACAGAGTAGTATTTCTGGTGTGGAATAAATCTATTTCTTTGTCATCCCATGATAAACATCAAGCAGTATAAAAGGAAGTTCATTTGTATCTTCTGAGAAAGGAGAATACACATTAGTGTATGGGCCATAACAAGCACTTAAGATAAATTTACTAAGTGAAAATCAAATACATAGATTCTAGGACATACTTAGAACTGTGTGATCTGCAGAACAAAGAGAAGCAAACTGACCATGCCCTCAAAGAGCTTAAAATATATCAATACCAGACTGGGGTTTTAGCTCAGCGATAGAGCACTTGCCTAGCATGTGAGAGGCACTGGGTACGAACCTCAGCACCACCTCAAAATAAATAAATAAAATAAAGGTATTGTGTCCATATACAATTAAAAATATTAAATGTGCATACACACACACACACACACACACACACACACACACACATATATATATATATATGCAATAATTGTGGAAAACATAAAATACAGGCATGAACAGGGTACTATGGGAAATATACATTTTAAATTATTCATTATAAATGTATGTAGTACTGTCTATTATTGACATAATCCTATTTATACCATTTTGAAATATTGTTGATGACGTCCATTTTATGGCTGAGTAACCTGAGACAAAGATAAGTAATTGCCCAAGTTTATGTTGCTAGTAGGCTTTGAACAGAAGTAGCCTGGCTCCAGTCTGTTAWCCACCTCTCCTAGGAAGAAAACTCTCCTCCATAGCAACATGGTAATGTGGTTCATGCTTTTAATGAAAACATGATGCATAATGAGGCTTCAGAACCATGTTGCAAAGGAATTCTCATTTTATTTTATATGAAAAAGTTACTGAGCCAATTCCTCTACTCTTAACAAGAACAGTCCATTTTGTTTTTAATCAATTTATAATCATMCATCAATAATGTACTACTAAAAATAAMTTGCAATAGGCCTGGATAGATTTTGTTAATAATACAATATTTACATTTATGGCTAGATCTGCTGCTTGGAAAAATACACATTTATGATTTTTTTTWWAAAAAATCTGTAGTTGCTAGTTGTTTYCATCAATATAAAATATTTTACAAGAAAAAATTTGCAAACTGATACCTTGCATTATTTATTGTTGGCACTAAGCATGAATGCAGTTACCTTGATTGGTTACATAAACATATCAGAAACCTAGCTTCTTAGAGATKTAATATATGGGATCACAACTGCCATCAGTAGTGGGAAAAATAAAAAAGAAATCCTTTGGTTTTTAGCATGCATAATTAATAGCTTTCTACTTTATAGGAATGACAGTAATTACGTGGGAAAAGTAAAATCTAATTTTCTAAATTATTTAACATTTCAATAGGCGAAAAGAAAATTTATATAGCTTAGAACCAATATTGGTAGATATTTCACATCTACCGATTATACAAATTTTAGTAGAAAAGAATAAATAATGAAGTGAAGATATTTATACAGTCACGATCAATCAATTGAAGTCATAGCTTATGAAGAAACCAAGCTGTTCTTTGATATTTAAAATTTGTGAACAAATGTTAATTACTATCTAAGGTGCCAGATTCTCTGCTTTCATTAATTGCTAATAAATTACATATTCGTATGAAGTTCACTTTCCCAAAACCAAWGCGGTATTATAATATCAAACTCACTATGTTGTATAGTTCTGGTAACATGAAAAAACAGTTAAAGAAGTGACTCATATTTTTTCTTATATACAAGAGCTTGTTATTTGGTTATTTTAGGCAAGTAATTGCTTGTTCCAACTTAGAAAATTGTCTTATATACGAAATTTCCTTAATTAAGACTTTTGTCTTTTAGTAAGTGCCCTCAGCATGGATTATCTCATCCAGGTCATCTCTTACTAGAACTATTAAAACACATCTATACTTCTATATGAAAGTCCTTAAGTGGCTGTTTATTATTCATAATATAGCCATTAGCTTCTACTCAGTTCTTTTACATGTACATGCATTTGCAGAGAAAAATTCATGTACTTAATAGATTCTTAATAATAATTCTTAATGTTCCATTTCTCAGCCATTCCATATTTCTATATTAAATTTTATTTTTTTKTTGGATTGCTTTATTACTTAGGTGAACCACTGATTAATATGACTTGACTGAATCAGCCCAATGTTTATGAAAACCCTTTTTTTCCATGGGAATAAATATTTGCCTACTAAAACTGTAGTTACTAATGGAACTACTTAATACTTCTGTCATTAAGCAACCCTTGCATTCAGTTTTCTTCATGACATAAGTGACACATTATTGTGAGTGGATCCTCCTTCTGGTAACACCATTAAGAGATATGGTTGTCTACTAACATATCTGACTAAAATAATAATAACAACAACAACAATAATAATAGTTCACCCTTATTTCTAACCTAGGAAGACAAGTAAAGGTTTTTCCAGTTGTCTTTTTACCTTCAGTTCAGCTGCATAAACTAAGGAAAGCATTTGAAGATCCATTTTAGTAGTGATAAAGACTAAAACTATTCTTATATACATGAAAAGAATGGGAAAATTGACATCAGCAACAAAACCACAAAATGTGTTTTGATGAAACTATTCAGCAACTGGAACTTAAGAGAATCCTCTGCTTCCCACACTCTTTTTAAAAATCAAACAGCCCTGCCTATGGGTCTTTTTGTCCCTGGTTTATTGGTGAAGAACAGGAGCCATGAAGAGTATAAAAATCTAACCCAAGGCCTTTTTTCCAACAATTTGCAAAACTGATACTTAAGCTCAGGTCCATCCAAATCCAACCTTTACTTTCCCTTTTCTTTTTCAGGCTAATATTAAACTTTCCACTTGTACTCAAAGTCAGAACAAAACTAAGGATGGGAATGTGGCCAGTGCAATTGTGTAAATGTGTATTCAGTCACATTTGATTTATAAGTAGTTACCAGCATGTCCTTGCATTATTGCAAGTAAATGTGTGTGGTGGGAATCAGTAAACCCAGGCTGTCAGAGAAGTCACCATCTCTAATCTCCAAGTATTTAAAGGCAATATATAAATGAAAGGCATCTAAAGAAATATTCCCAGAAAATTATGTGTTTGATAGGAAAGCAATATGTTAGTGACATAATGATGAACTTAGAATACAAATCTGGGTCGACCTTTATTTTTAGTATATCAATAACAAAATGTTTTGGCATAGTAAAGTGCTTCGTTATGTCAGTCTTTCTTCATTTTACTTAATTATTTATCTACTSTTTCATTTATTTTCCAGGAAGCATTGCCATCATTGTGCCTCTTGTCCTTTTGGTGACTTTGATAACCACCTTAGTAATTGGTTTAGTTCTTTGTAAGAGAAAAAGAAGGTAAGATTCRGTGTTCTAGATTAATATTCAATGAATAAATCATGCAAAAATGTTGCATAAATATATATATATTTTAAAATTTCTTATGACATGATTTAGTTATTCCAACTACAATTTCCTATATTTTACAAATCCTATTAACCCTCTATTTTAYGAGATTGTAATTTACTCAAATCTTCCCTCATAGTATGTTGATAGAATATATAAATGGAGCCATTCTAACAAAAATAACAAGAGGCCACACTCCTTAAATTTCAGTACTCTTTCCCTAAAACAGCAGGGGCTTCTGAAGTATATTTTATTATATTACTGTGTATGACTAGTAATGTCAACAGAATTATAGCAAATATGTATGTCATGAATTGTGGATTTCATTAACATAGTGCATTTATTTAGTTTATATTTGGCTGGAAGTATCATTATTTCAAATGACATGAAAGTGTAGTTATACAGAGCCAGGAGGAATGAGCTGTCTGCGGGGTTTAATCTAGGAACTGAGAGCTGATGAGTCATTTTTTTTTTGAGTTGTTAGGATTCTATCATATAATTTTGGGATTAAAATAGTCTATTTCAAAAGTTTCATCAGTGTTTTCTTAGGAATAGTTTTCAGATTGAAGGGAAAAAATTGGCATTAGCTGTTTAGGAGAAACTTATTTCCAGTATATTTTTATTAAGTCAAAGTGATTGGAAAATGATTAATCAAAGTGTGAGTTTTGTGATAGAGACTTGACAAATATCACTCAATTTATTTCAAATGCATTTAATTTATAAATGTCCTATCAGTTTAATTAAAATAAGTAAATGTATAAATATGATCATTTCATGTACCTTGAGTTGTGGTATTTATATAATTCACACTTATGTTAATGTTCACATATTCTAGGACAAAAACAATTAGAAGACAACCCATTATCAATGGAGGAATAAATGTAGAAATTGGCAATCCATCTTATAACATGTATGAGGTGGATCATGACCACAACGATGGAGGTCTTTTAGATCCTGGCTTTATGATTGATCCAACAAAGGTAATATAGCCTAAAATAATGGACAGTGAGCATGAACTTTCTTGAATCAAAGCTCTGTTATATGGTCTTGAATTTCATCTTTTTTAATATCTAAAATTGTCATAACAGATTTTATGATTCATTGAATGAGATAGCCTGTTTTTAAAAAGTACAGTATGATCTGCATTCACTTGAGGCATGCAAGTTAACATTAAAATGAACAGAATTATTCACTCAGTTGATAAAGATGTACAATTCATTTAAAATATTATCCTAATGAAATATGCTGATGTGTTAGCATGTCTAAATATACATATTAGTGTAAACTGTTGGCTAATTTGTTTTCAATAGAAAAAGAATATAATGCTTCATTGTTAAAACAAGTATTTCATCTCCAACAGTGCATCATTAGAGAACCACTAAGCTGTGTCACTTAATTTCTTTGTAATCCAATCACTTTTGAAAAATACTTATCTATCTGCTATCTTATCCATATTGATGTGAAACATATCATCAATACATATACCTTAAACATTCATAATCTATTTAAGGTTTCTGTTACTTCTTATTACTTTCCATAAGCTCACTTGATACAGTTATCCAGATAAATTTGCAAAGATTTGATTCACTAAATTATCTGAATATTTTGAATGACAATTTTAGAATATTTACTTTGTTAAACATTTTAAACCATTTTGCTAATGTTAATTTTCTTAGTCTATTTATTTATTAAATATTTATTTATTTTCTGATTTATTAAAGAGACTTTATCTACAATACACTTTTAATCAAAGTGACCAATAATCAAAGTGACCAATCTACAGCTAAATGAGTTTTAAACTTGTAATGACACCTATTCCTAAAGTAGTGGAATAGGGTCTCATATACTCAATCTGGTTCCAAATTCATAAGATTGTCTGAGCCAGAAATTGATGGTCAAATATTTTAATTAATATCAGTCAATCCTTTTTGCATGATTAAAATTTATACTCTCAGAGAACATTATAATGATGTTTTCCTAATTAGAAATAATTTTATCATTAACTAACTCCTACATCTGATTTTTTCTTGAAATAGATCCTGATAATCTTAGTTCCAGTAACTATACTTGAAATTTAAAATCTATATATACTGTGTAAATTATTATTTGATAATTTGTCCCTGAAGAAGAAAGACATTAAAAAATTATACTTCTGGAGATTCTTTGGTTTTTTCTTAGGAATATAAATGAAGTATAAGTAAAATATGAACTGTTAAGAGACTTATTTTAAACATATTTAAAATACTTTTTACTTGTTTCATGAAGGAGAGTTCTCATTTTCCCTCATCATTTTTTATTTCTAGTGATAGAATTAATCCAATTTTGTATACTTAAAGAGAACAGCTTTTTAGTATCCCATTTAAAATTTTTTACACGTTTATTCTAGGAGAATAAAACTATGCTTCAGTGCCCTTCAAATATATTTTTAATGTACTTAGCACTTAATAGTCAATAAATATTTATTTACCAATTTGCTGAATGACTAACCAAAATTGCATGGAATCTGTTAGAGAAGGCTGAGTCTACCTGGCTCCTAATATTTGAATGTAAGTATGAATTGTTATCTAAGTGGTAACTRTAGAACAGTCTTAAGAGATAGGGAYGATAATAAAAAAACAAAGGTCACATCAAAGCAACCTTAATAATGAAACAAATTTCATAGATTATCACTATGTTGCAGTAGCTTGGTATAAGCATGATATAATTAACTACAAAGAAAATGTTTGTACAATGTCATTTTTGTTATTTTGAAACTGTTTAACATTTCCAGTTCAGTGATGCCTTATACTCAAAAGAACTRAAATACTTAACTAAAATGAATAAAATAGATCTGACTATGGAAGTTACCACAGAATAATTTGAAGAGTCCAAAAAATAATAATTATTGGTTTTACCCCCAAATTCATCTCAATCTTTAATTAGATTTTCTTTTCTAAAGAATTATAATTAATTTCTGTATGATTCATCCAAATTCAAATTTACAGACTATAGACAATTAGAATTGTTTTGAGTACTTTCTGAATGAAACTATTCTGGAAAAAAAAATTAAGTGGCAACTTTTAGTTGATTTTATGTTTGAAATATTTTCCAGAGCCACTTATCCATTGTTAATATTGATAGTTAACAAATACATATTCATTAATATTTGAATATTCAAAAATGCCTCTTTAGGGTTTTTTATTAGCATAAGTACTATATTATAAATATTACTGAAACAGTAGAATTCTGTTCTTAGACCCAAGAAAATCTAAAGTTAATCACATTGCATGTAGACATAGTGAGCTTATTTACTAATTAATCCACTTTCAAACTAGAGTCAGATTTCTAAAACTACAAATGTTTGTTTTGATGTATGAAATTTGAAACTTAAATTTCTCCCTTAAAAATATAGCTTAATGATGAATCTTTAATTAGAAGCAGATATTCAAGTGTCCAGAATGAGCTGTCAAAACTCGAAACTTTTCTTAGTGTCAGAATTTTAAATGGAAAAGGCTGGTGCATTTTTCAGAGTTCTTAGCAAAGATAGTATTTCCTGGGTGAAGATAAGTTTCAATAGAACTATCTGGATATTGCTGCACGAGTACCATGTCTGTTGGTAAACTGAACATAATAAAAAATGTCTACCCATAAAGCAAAATTTGATTAATATTTCTTTCTTAAGCTGTGAAAGCTAACATGAAAACACTGCTCATGACCCAGGGCTAAAAAGGTTTTAATGTTATTTTTCTGATTTAACATGATTTGTATCAATGAAAAGTGGTTCCATGATATTAGATGAGAAACTAAAATTCTCTGTTTATGTACAGGCCAGGTATATAGGGGGAGGGCCCAGTGCTTTCAAGCTTCCACACACAGCGCCGCCCATCTACCTAAACTCTGATTTGAAAGGACCACTAACTGCTGGGGTGAGAGAAGAAATTCATTATTCCATATCCATTCCATTACCGAATCCCTCACAATCAGAATGACTACTTGACTTGGATAGAAGCTTGTCCTTAATTAAGTTTTTAATTAACTAGAGATTTCAAAACAGCATAAAAATTAGAGGTTTATGTTATGTGTCCTGCCTATACAAGATAACATATAAAACATGTTATCATTCCAGGCAAGTTCTTAAGCAGAAATATCTCTTCTACTGGATKTGAAAGTGTTATAGACCATTTACAATGAACTTGAGTATTTCAGTATTAGTTGTTCTTAGAAAAGAATCTCTAGTCAGGCCCAGAGGCATATGCCTATAATCCCAGTGGCTTGGGTGGCTGAGGCAGGAGTATCACGAGTCCAAAGCCAGCCTCAGCAAAAGTGAAGCGTTAAGCAACTCAGTGAGATCCTGTCTCTAAATAAAATACAAAATAGGGCTGGGGATGTGGCTCACTGGTCAAGTGCCCTGAGTTYAATACCCGGTACCAAAGAAGAAAAAAAGAAAAAAGAAAAGAATCTCTTGCAAGAATTTTAAACTGAATTATTTAAATTTGTTCAGTTTTAAGCATTTTTATTAGAATGCTTTACTTAACATAAGTAAATTTTATGTGCAAATAAATATATAGTTCCAAATATGTCATCATATTGAAAATTCAGAGATGGTCTAATGAAATCATTTTTATTTTTTTGAATTAGATAATATGTTTAGAGAAAGCTACTCTAAAATTACATAGCTCATTTTATGTAAAAAGTGAATAAGACATAATAGAATTTCTATGGATGAGTATGCTCTCTGTCTTCTCTTACATCAACTGCTTTTCATTCTCATTACCTAAGGTGTTTGTCTCCTTTGCATGGCTCAAAAATTATGTTTTCTTATTGTAACTAAGCCTTAATGTATGCTTTTTGGAAAAACCAGATGGAACCAAAACAACAATAAAAGCAAAAACTACAGAACATTTTCTTAAGTTAAGCTGCAATTTGTTAAACAATGAATGATGAATATGTTTACCACCTGAAAGAGGTCACTGCTACATGCTTCAAATTCTATCTCAAAATGTTTATGTCTAACACATAATATAACCATACTTCACAATTCTTTAGATGAGCCCAAAGACATGCCCAATGATGAATATATATAGGATCTTGAAGCAAGAATATTGTCATTTTTCAGAAGTGTTCACTGATGTATTCCTTTACTTTTRTCTTTATATGCTTGATTTAAATTCACATTGAAAAATTATAGACACAACTTATTAGGTGACTTTTTGTTTACGCATCTAAGTTTCCATTCATGGGTATGCATTAGCAATAAGTGGTAGTGGTGGTAGATCACAGGGGATATATGGCCTGAAAACATCACAATTCGTTTTAACCATTGACAATAAAATTTTAGTAAGCATAGCTTTCCCTGTGATTTCTTCTGGCTTTTTGTTTTACATCAGAGCTCCCGTTAGCTTCACAAGTTACCTGAAAATCATAAAATTTTATTTTTACCTAATACCATGCTAAAGCAGACTAAAACCTATGAGTGCAGAATTTAAAATTTCATTTAAATATGTCCTACTTACTATCTTGAGTGCATCACATGTAGATATTATACCATTGACAAACTACAAAATAAGTGATGTTGTTAACTGATAATAATACTGATAATAATATTATATTTATTTTTTCTTCTTCAGCCTACTAATTACTCCAACCCGGTATATGCAAAATTGTATATGGATGGGCAAAATTGTCGAAATTCCTTAGGAAGTGTTGATGAAAGAAAAGAACTGCTTCCAAAGAAAATAGAAATTGGTATAAGAGAGACAGTGGCATAATCGGTGAACCTTTTATATGCTGTATAAATGTATAAAATATAAGGATTACTTTTGTATGTCCAACAGTATTATACTTGTTTTGGCATCAGCATTACCTCTTCCTTTATCTTTTTCCTGGTTAATTGTTTTCTGAGTTTTTTGGGTTTTATTTTTTGCTGATGACTATTGATTGACCATTTGTATGGTATTTTTATGAAAAAGAACTGCACTACAGTACAATTTACAACAATGCTGCTGATGAAGACACACCTTTGAATTTGTTAAAATTAAAAACAACATATTCCTTTGTAGTGTGAATATGAGCAATCTATTTTATATGAACTTTTTGGGTTCTACTCAACTAACAAAGAGAAACTCTGCACTTTTTCATTATATGGTCTGAAAGCTGTAATACAATGTCATTTTATTTTTTTTGTTAAAATTGATGGAAGAATGATTAAATGGACAACTCTCTTCTTTGTGCCCATGAAGATTGATTCAGATACTCCTGAAAATATATAACCCTCACAAGTTCAGTGTCACCTGCTTTGAAATTAGCCTTAGATTGCCAAGTGGTAGATGAGGCAAAACTTGAAAATATATATAAATTTAATAATTTGCATGTAAACAGATGATTTACATTTTCCAAAATTTAGTGGACTCTGTGATATACTAAATGCAAACACCCTGTACACAATAGTTATATTTAGGTGGTAGAGCATAATAAAAAAATAACCTGAAGTGGACAGATCACACTTGCTATGGGATAAGGCCTTTGGTTCTCCCTCAATCCTGAGGTGAATAGCCAGCCTAGAGCACAACAGGGCATCGGGTACTCATGTAGTATGTGCTTCTTCCCAATCAATCACGTGCATTTTGTGGAAGATTGGCCCAACCCACCCCTTACCCCAATGAACATTATAGAATAATAGATAAGCACACAAATTGACAAGACAGAATTTCAATTATGAGGATGCATTCTTTTGCTAAGTCAAAAGGAAGAGGTAAAACAGCCCTTTTGGTGTAGAGTAATCGGTAAATATTTTCAAGAAACAGTATGACTAATCCCTTATTTTCCCTACTGAAAATATATTCTTCCGAGTTATAGAACAATTATCTACCCATTATCAAAGGTGGAGAGTATAAATGCTATTTGCTATTTGCTCTGGTAATCTGGTTTCTTTTTAGTTATATAAAACACATGTTCCCCCTTCACTTGTTTGTTTCTTTGTTCTCAAACTTTGATTAAACAAGTACAATTTATTTAAGSTGTATAAAAAAAGATAGCATTTTTATACAAATATCTTTAAAGGCACAAAAGATTTATTCACAAGTTGTGGAGGGCTTTTTGTTCCTCTGATAGACATGACTGACTTTTAGCTGTCATAATGTATTAACCTAACAGATGAAAAATATGTTTGTGGTTGCTCTTTATCCCTTTGTACAAGCATTAAAAAAACTGCTGTTTTATAAGGAGATTTTTGTTGTACTATGTGCATGCATACTACCTATTTCTAAACTTTGCCATATTGAGGCCTTTATAAACTCTTGATTTATGTAATACTAGTGCAATTTTGCTTGAACAATGTTATGCATATCATAAACTTTTTCAGGTTCTTGTTTAAGTACATTTTTTAAATTGAACAGTATTTTTCATTTTGGTTATAATAGTCATTTTGCCTATGTTTCTACAATGAAGTGTTAAATACTTTATAAAAAATTGTTGACTGACTTATTTAAATGAAATTCTACATATTTAAGTGCTTGTGTTGGGTAGTTTTTAAACATAAGAAACTCCTTTTGTTGTGTGGTTTATATCTTTCTAGAAAATTATTTCAAGGACCATGGTAGTTTTCATGTGTTTGGTTTTGTTTTGGGTACTGCAGACTAAACCCAGTAGTGCTTTACCACTAAGCTCTTGCAAGTCTTTTAATTTTGAGACAGAGTCTTGCTAAGTTGTTGAGGGGTTTGCTTACTTACTGAGGCTGGCCTTGAACTTRTGATTGTCTTGCCTGCAGAGTTGTTGGGATTATAGGCCTATAGCACTATACCTGGCAATTTTTTAAAAAATATCCTTAAAATGTATTCTCCAGGCAAAGTTTGATTCCACCACATCATTTTTCAAACCACAACAGAAAAGGCACTAGGTATTCAGTATTAGCAATGTGTTAATGCAAATGTCATTACCATTTTAAAGAAACAGAATCCTAATGTTATCTTAACAGTTAATATTTATAAAAAATGATGTCAAACTATTTACCATATACAGCTAATACTAGAAGCATCACATTGATGAACTGGTATTCTACCAGGGCACTTGTGAAAGCCATATTCAAATGAGCTCCTGCTCAATAGACCTCAGGCCTCATCTACAAGAGCCGTACATTTTAATGGTCATTATTTGCACATTAGCTGAAGTGTTCTCTGCTGGTTGAAAAATCCACATCAGAGTCTACAGTTTCTRTTACACTACTTTTATACATTTTTTTCAACTTCTGAAAATGTGTTCTATTTCTATAGCTCTCTTTCTATTCCAATTCCCTATTACAAAATTTCATGGAAAAACAAAAAATCCAAGTGTATATAACCTCTTTCACCAACAAAATTCTTCCTAAATGATTCATTAAGATTTGGTGGAAGATATTTTATAAAAATTAATGCTTCCTCCTTACACAAATGGCTTTTCATCTAAGGCAAAGATTTTCAACCTCTTGTCAATTAGGACAGGTAAATCTTTGTTGTCTTTTATAGGGTAAGATATTTAGCTGGATCCCTGCATTCTACCCAATCAGGAGATGTTAGTAACATGCTCCACTCTCCCAAAGTTGCAACAGCTAAAAATGTTTATGGATATTGCCAAATGTCTTCTGGGGAACAAAATTACTCTGTTAAGAACTGCTAATCTAGATCTCTATTCTGTCTCCCACTGTTAAATGACTCTCAGCTGGAACAGCTGAGTCAAAAACATCCCCTCATCAACAAAATCAAGGCATTCCCAAGTTTCGATTTTAATTCTTTAATGCTGATGATGCATGAATTATAATTATAGAGATTTATATTAGTAAAGTGCCTATGTAGTAAACAAAAAAAGACATGACTAAGGGAAAAAGTTGCATTTAGGAACTTGTAAAATTTTGCATAAGTTGACTCATTTTCATTTATGTAAATGTGTTTAATTTTGGTGTCATTGATAATTATGTTGTATTTTGGTTTGTGTTTTATCACATGCTTGTTTCGTTGATACTTAACGTTGAGATTTAAACTCCTAAGTTCAAAGAATGTTACTTTCTGTTTTTTTGATGGCTCAGATATGAAGAAATTTAATACCACATGCATATTATGGCAGAAGTAAGTGAAATATAATTAATTAACTTTTTAAAAACAGTCTTCTTTATTTTTTTTATTTTTTGGATAATAAGGGAGGGAGCATGGGGGTATAAAAACAGTCTTTTTTATCATATGCCCCATTCCAGTTTTATTAGGTCATTAACAACAATTTTCTCAATACCAGATGACATTCTTAAATTTAATGTAGGTCAATAGTCATTATTTAAATATGAATGCTTGAATTGTAGCTTGCACAAAATAAACTAAAGCACTTCTTTATGAAGTATAGGGTTATATAGTTATATAGCAAGTATTTTGAATGTGAGATTAAAAACACAAAGGGTCAAAACCAATATGTTTTAATGTTTCTACCACATCTGTTGCTAACTAGACATATCCAGGAAGTTAGTATGTTCAGGAAAAGATAATTAAAAATATATGATGGATGTTTTAATTAGATATACGGTTAATTTTTGATGTTGTCATTCCAAAGGCCCAGGAACATGAACCTTATACAGTGCTATGAATACATCTGATCTACAGAAAGAAAAATAGATGAAATGAGTTCTTTGATTTAACTTTTTTTCTAGTAGATACTATACTTACCTGGCTGCAATTTATTCGGAAAAGAAATTGTTTCTAGTGAATCCCATCATTTTTTGTACCCAAAGTGATCAAAAATCAAAAGAAAAATTGGTACTAAAGATGGCCTACTTGATAAATTCTATGCTTAGAATGTATTCATTCTCTCTGATGGAGAGTCTGTTCCTTTAGTATGGGATTTGTAAGATATCAGTGAACTTAAGCAATGGAATTTCTGATACTTTAGTCATTTGTTCACTCCAACATAATTTTTCAACATGGTTTCTTCTGCAGTTTTAATACATAAGTTATCAGCCTCCTGATACAACTAGATTTTCAAGTTTATTTATGGAGTAGTGGCCTCAAAAGCCAATAATATAATTGTTCTAGCCTTTAAAAATATAATATTGGTAGTGAAAAYTATACATATCTTACTAGGGTCAGTAATCTAAAAATTTATAAGTGAGAAAATATTTTTTACACACCAAGTGAACTGTGAAATACAGTTRGAAATCAATTTAGGAGTTCAAATTGTAAGACTGTTCACAGAGATACTTCAAAAACAATATGTAGAATATAAGTTTACATTGACTTGACTGATGAAATATTCACATATCTCAATGAATATTGTAAAATCTAGGAAGATTATAACGGCAATAAGATTTTCAACTAAAATAACTATTGTGCAATTTACAATTGTCATTTTCTGTTGTGGAAATCTATGTGAACACACACACATGCTCTGGCTTTGTTGTTCTATTATGAAAATGTCACTTATTTCCTATTTTATCTAAYATTCAATCATATTTAGCTTTTCTGACTTTGAATTTCAGATATCATAACCATTAACCATAATAAAATGAATCCCTAGTTTTCAAAAGTTCTCATATTTGCACAAATCATTTTAGTCTACACAATGTTGTAGACTTTACCATATTAGAAAATCTCCATCTCCCTGTTGCATCTCCTCTTTCATCCTAAGTGACAGTATGCCTAGCACACTATTTCATCAAAACTTGTATTGCTAATTATTACTGCAAAATATATTTTCATTTTAGGGAACTTAGGAAATATGSATGAAAAAGAAAAATATTACTCCCATAATAAAATGC